CAGAGGGGTTTCAGCTCTGGGGCAAAACTGTGACTTTCATTCCATCCACAGAAATTGTGGCATCTTTAATGCCAGGGATGTAGTAATCATTAAACTATAGCTGTATCCACATATATTTCAAAATGTTTTAAACAATTATCTGAAGATTACATCCCACATTTGAATTACACTGTCTTGTCTCTTAGCTACCACTTCAAAAATTGTGAAGGTAACAAATAAATTCTTTCCCATCCTTAGTAATCTTTTATATTTTAATTTTCTTATGGAGACTTTTAAATCCTACAGAGTATTAGTTTATTTTCAAAAGATACTTTTATCAGTTATTTTTCTTCCAAGTGGAAAAAAGAAACTAGTTTCAAACTTTGCTATGTGTAAAATTGATTTTTAGATGCATATAAGAGAATTTTATCTTCTTTTGGGATGAGATAGGATAACTGTGATAATGCAAAGATTTTTTTTTTACTGAGAATAATACAAAAAAAGCTAATTGATAATTTTCTTGGATCCTACAGTTTGTTATATGTCCCTTTTAATTTGTGATAATTGATTTTAATAAAGTAATTACTAAGGCAGATAACTCTGCAGATAATTTCCTTGAAAGTAGTTAAAATCCTTTGTTACAGTTTTATCCAAATTCTCTTCTAAGTTGAAACTACCCATTAATGAGATGCAAACCAATTATAGACTAGCATAAATAATAACAGTACTAAATATGATGCACAGGCTGGGTTTAAAATTTGGGATTAAGGAGAAAATTAAAACTATGAATTTCACAGTTTCACTTCTTTAAGATTCTCTACTGTTTGGTTTCAATATAGATGGGTTTAAATACTCCAAGCTTTGAGATGATTTAAACCCCCCCAAATTTCAAAGTAAAAATTCATGTAGAATTTATGGAATTGCTAATATCCTCCTTACATGTGAAAAGAAGGATTTTAATATATAAGCATATTTGGTTCCAGTCTGAACAAACCCCTATGTCTCTCTTTGGGCCTATGTGAGTGAGAATTTTAAATGGATTGACAAGAGCTCTTGAGAAACAAATCACAGCAGCAAAGAATATTATGGAATATAGCTGCAGATTTTTTGGCCACCTACAGACTGTAAGAAGTTATTTTGGTCTCCATCATTTCCCCAGTCAGATTTTCAGATTACAAGCCATGGTGAAAAATGACACATTATTTTATATAAGGATGCCAGATACTGGTAAATGGAGTATTTTTGTGAAGTTTAGTTTGGACTAATTGTGGGGAAATGAAGGAATATATTAATAGACTTTTCTGGACATGGTTGTGTGGATTATTATCAGTCTGGGAATGGAAATTAAAAACTAAACAATGCCAGCAGAAATTGGGAATGTGCTCCTCATTGGTACCTCAATATAGGAAGTACCAACGATGACAGCTTTAGATGATCTTGTGACCTACTTACTATAAAGTGTGTGACACCTGTCCTAGAGGGTGTTACATTTGCTACTCTGATTGTTATCTTTTCCAAAAGTGGATATTGAAAATAGATTAATTCTATTATCACAGAGTCAATTAATAACCCATCAGCCATGATGTGTTACCAGAGGTGATAGGACCTGCTACATGAACAGAAAATCCAATGTTGCAGTGATGGATAAAAACACTCTCCACTCTATCTCCCAAAGCATCTTAACATCTTTCTTATATATGCATCTTATTTTCCCCCCTGCTACTAGCAGTTTCTTTTCTTATGCAGTTTTTCAAAGCCTTAGTTCCCTGCTCTTTATTTCCTAGCACTTTCACCAATAGGCTCATGTGTGACAGACATACACATCAGTGTTTGGCTTCCAAATGTCAGAATCTCCGCCCACAATCAAAGTGAACTATACTTTCAGCAGAAAAAAAAAAGAGATTGGGTGCTATAGTAATTTTGCTAAGGGAAAAGGAGACAAATGACCTATTGCAGATAGATAGTCAATAAAGTTTTACAAAGGATGTTGCTTGCTTGTTGGGTGACATTATTCCTTTCATTCTCATATTTCTTAAACAATGCAATTTTATCTTTTTGTTTAGCCTTTGTTTCTTCCATTTTTAATGCTGTTCCTCCTGTGTCACTTCACCCTTGTTGGTGACTTAAGTGGTGCCAGGCTGCCAGAGCTGCAGAATCCAGAACAGGAACCAATCTACTATCAGCTTGTTATGTGAAATTTCTTAATTAACATTTCCCAAACTACACAAAACCAATTCTGGCTCACCCACTCAGACTTTAAAGATTGCTTCATGTTCTTGACTGCATCATAAGTTTATCTAATATCTGGTTTCTATATATGTAAGAATCTTCTGTTGTGTTTGTGCTGCCTGAAGCAAAAATACAACATGAATGTCACCTTCTAATTAGGTGTAAAATTGTCACGTTTATTTCATACAATCATGTGTTTGATAATTATTAAAAGCACTGCACACTTTTTTCACCTGGTTTAGTAGAGTTCATCTCTAGCATAGTCTTACTGACAATGAAACTTGTAACATTTACATATTCTAAGAAATGTAGCAATAGTTCGAAAGATCCTGCATTAAAAATATAACAGTTTCCTCTTGGGAAATGAAACTTACTTTCTTGTTTAAGCTATCCTACCCTTCATCATCACACAAAGAAAGAAGCGAGAAGTCTCCATGAAAGGTGTCAGATCTTCCTACAGACAGGGGAACATATGTACCAATTAATCTATACCCTGGTTTGAGGTATGTAAAGGCAGGTTCAATACCGAAAACTGAGGAGGTTGTCCCTGTTGGAATTTGAATGTGGCACTGGCTCTAGATAGAGTAGTTAAAAGATCATAAAATATTATTTGTTTCCACTTGTTTTAAAACTGCTCTCTAGTGTTGAGTGTTGACTTTCTCAGCAAAGTATGAGTGAAGAGGGTTACAGTTCCACTTCACTTCTATCTTTGACTTTGATTAGTTTTTGGTTCATTACACTAAAATTTTTTCGATTTTCAGACATATATTTCAATCATCCCAGTCCTAACATATGTATAGTTGTGATCATTTATTTTTTCACTCTTGTCAGGAGAACTGTCAGTTCAAAGCAGTCAGTCTCTCAGTAGAACCACAATAGAGTGGATATCTTGGCTAGCTTGTAGCTATCAAGAACTCTGTTAACATCAATACAGTATCAAGAAACAGGGAAAAAAAATAAATATCTGTATCTCAAGATGAGAACTATAGTACAAATCTGTTTAATTAGGCATGAAACCTATCACTGCATATTCTCATGCATTTATCAACTCGACAGTTAACTTTATTCTTCAAAGCAACTTTATTATCTTTGCATTTAACCTGCATGAAACCATCTTTTTAAATCCTTTCCCCCCTCAAATGGCTCACTGCACATTATTGAAGGTAATATTTATAAAAGGAACTCAGAATGAACAGAAACATTTTGTTTGCCCGAGGTTGGTTGAAGAAGAGCCCTTAACTGTAAGATGCCTGTGAAAATCACTTTTCCTTACAAGAAGCTTAGAACAGTTAACAGGAAAAGGGGTATCGGAGGAGCTGCAGAAAAGCAAAGCTCAAACGCCTTTTACCGGACTTTAATCGTGACTACCCTCCCTGACATTCTCAGCTTAACTGACGCAAAACATTTCCAAGAGCTGGAAGGGGGTCCAGAGGATGCGGATGAGACCACGGCTGATCCCCCCACTCCTAGTTTAGCAAAAGCCCCCCGACGGGCTGGTTCTCCCGCACAACAAGCAGGTGCGGACGCTACGCTGAGCGACCTCAGACCCGCGGGATTCCTTGCCCGCAGCATCCCGCAGCGCTCGCTGCGGCGAGCCCGGCTGCCGGCACCGTCCGGGGAAGCGGGCTGCGGAGAGGCGGCTCCGGCGGCGGCTTCCCCCGCGCTCCCTCTTGCTCCTTTTTCCTCCTGCGTTAATTCTGCCTTCGCGGGGGCAGGTCGATGCTTGGCGGCCCCGTCCCGCGGCGACACGCGGCTCCCCCGCGGCGGCCGCAGGAGGTGTGTTCATACATATACATACATATATATGTAATATATATATGGGTGTGTGCGTGTGAATGACTCATAGCTGAGTTATTCTGTGTCATCGCAGCGCTGTCCGACGGGGACGGCGATGCCTGCAGGGGATCTTCAGCGAGGCGCCGTGTGCTCTGTTGGAAGCACGGGCGGGTGGAGCAGGAGGGCGAGAACCACGTAGGGCTTTAGGGAGGCACAGGGGAGGTTGTCCCTCACCCCTTTGCTCCCCTTGGGCCCCCTCCTTGTCCGAGACAGCCCGGCAGAGCGGGGCTGGATGTTCGCCGGTGCGGGGTCGGGGCCGCAGAGCCGTGCCCCGGGTTAGTGGCTGGGAGACGAGGCGGGGAGAAGGCAGCGGCGCTGCCGCGCCAAGCCAGCTTGGCAAAGTGGTAGAACTGGCACCAAATTTCTTCTCAATATGGGGGTCGATGTACGTTCCCTCCGGCGAGCGGCCAGCCTATACCCAGTCACACGGCCGGGAGAAAAGGGAGCCAGGGCAGCCGAGCAAAAGCGGAGGCTCGCTGAGGCGGGTGGATAACTTTCCCGCCGTGGCATGGGGCGAGAGGACAGCCTCAGCCCCCCCAGGACCGAGGAGAGCTCCGCGGGCTCCGGGCACTCCCGCGACCAAGGGGAACACCGCCGCCCCCCGGCGGGCCGGCAGCTCCAGGGCCGAGCCCGGGAGCTCGCTGCCCCTGCCCGCCGGGGGCCGCCGGCCGCCGCGGCGGGACGGGCTGCTCTCACCGGTGGTCTCAGTTCACCCTCCCGGGGTCGGTCGGAAGCGGAGCCCGCCTCGCCGCCCGCTCGCCCCTCTCCGGCGCGGGGGCCCGCCCGGGGGAGGGCTGCGCGTCACCGGATCTGGTGGCGCCGGCAGCGGGGCGGCGTTACGGAGCTCCCCGGGAGCGGAGGGGGCGGGCGGGGGTCCCGGGCGGGGCCGCATCGCCGCGCCTGGCTGCGGCCGCGCTGGCGGCGGCGCCGCCTCGCCTCCCCTCGCCTCGCCGCGCCTCGCCTGGCCGCTCGCCGCCGCGGAGGGGCGGCGCTGCCTCCCCGCACTCCCCCGCCCGGCGCCCCCGCTTCGTCTCCGGGAAGGGCGCGGGGACCCCCACGCTTCCCCCTCGGCACGGCGGCGGAGTTCGAGCCCGCGGCTGCGGCTGGGGTGCGATGCCGTGTTAGCCGGCGGCCCGCCCCGAGGTAGCGCCGGCGGGAAGGATCGCGAGTTGCCGGGGCTGTGGCTGGCAGCATGGGCACCGGGCGGGGGGGCGAGGCGGCCGGGCTCCCTGCGCTCCTCGGCTGAGCCCGGGGATGTGCCGGCGCCCGGTGGAATTATTTTGGAACTAGCGCGGAGCGGTGGGAGGAGGGCGAGCGGCACAGCGTTTCACCAGCTGCGAGGAGGTCGTCCGGCTGTGCTGTATAGGCAAGTAAGCGCTCCTTTTCTGTTGCCTTTTCGCTGCCTTCTCTTCGTCTCGAGTGACTTTTTTTTTGCAGCCGCTGGTCGCACACTCCTGGTTTGGAGGCACGATGGTCGGCGGCGCCAGCGGCAGTTCTCGGGGGCTAAGGTGCGGGAGGCTGGTGGCCGGGATTGCAGGGAAGCCCCGCTCCAACTCCGCCGGAGTCCGCCGCGAGCATCCCGCTGATGCGGTGCTCCGGCGCACAGCCGGGCAGGAAGCTCCATGTCCCAGCGCTTCCCACTTCTGCAACTCTAAGAGGTGATGCCTCCTTACAGGCGTTAATATAAAATTCCTTCTCCTTTGTGCTGAGCTGTAACTAAAATGTAGGAGTCCCTTAATTGCTTTCTATCAGTGCTTCTTGTGGGAAAGAGGCAGAATGCATGTCAGCCTTTCATACTCACTTATGAATTCAGACAGTGAACCCAGAGTTTTGATTTGTTTGCCTTTAACTTTTTGGTGCCCTGCCTAGTGATTTCCTTTGAGATGCTCTTGCTGTGAGGTTATGGTTTGTCCAACCTTGTTTGTTTTCTTACTTTTAGCCTGTGGATATTTATTGCTATACTTGACATAGCCATGAAAAAAAAGTTGACTGTAATTTATTTCAATGTATGGAGGACAGGTTGCAGGCAGGGGACTAATTCTGCTCTCACAGGAACTCCACTTCAAAGGAGGAGGCCCATGGGGCTGTAATCTCCAGCTAAAAACTCAGAGAGCTCAGAGTAGACCTGTCACACTGTAAAGAATGAGTTCTGTTCACTTTTCAGCAGTGATAACATAAGCTAAGCTGCCTGCTTTCCCATATCTATGAAACACCTGTCTCTGAAATGCAGGGAATAGAGATGTGAATTCTGGGCAGGTTTGAGAGAAGGCAGAACTTTAGACAGTGTTTAATTAAGTTTGCTCATATTGATTTCCTCCATGTCACCTCTATGAGCCTGAAAACTGCAATCTATTACAGTAACCTTGATGCATGTTGCGTTCTAACATGAAAGCAGCACAGAATAAAAGCATTTACACAGATTTATAGCTAAGGTCTGATGTTTCACTAGGAGCTCAGTTCCACCGACTGCGGTAGTTTCAGCAGGGGCATGGTATGTGTGTAGGAAATAACTTGCTAATGGTGATGAAAGTATAAGTTGCAGTGTTGGAAACGTGTCCTGCAGAAAATGCCAGTGTGCATGAAACGTCTGTTGAGTTTTGGATATTTCATTTTCTAATCAGTGAGATCTGAAGCAAAAAGAGTGTGTGGGTGTGTGTGGCAGTATTAAGGCTTCCCAGGTTAATGCACTTTGATTTATCAGCAGCAAGAGATCTTTTTAGGCACTGAAATACACTTTTTTTTAATAGATACAGTATTGACATGATATGATTAAAAAATGTTGGAATGTCCTTACGGTGAACATGTAACTAACTCAAGTTTATAGCTGAATGATAAAGTAAACATTTCCTGTAATGGTTGATGGAGATTATTGAGGGTAAATTGGCTGAGGGGAATGTCATTTGTTTCAGTGCAGTTTACGGATAGTGTTCCTGTGGTTCATATTTCTGACTCTCTGAAGATGCTGTGGAACACAAATAGAATAACTGTTGCTAGACAGTGGGATGCAAACCTATCTGTTACTTAAAACACTCAGCTTATTCTGTCTCCTATCAAAAAATATAGTTTGTAGCAAGGTCTGCCTATGGTTTTATTGTAGTAATTCCTTCGTCTGTTGCAGAGTGGCAGACTTTCACTAGGCATGTGCAAGGGAGGTCATGAAACACTGAAGCATGGAGTGATGTGGAATTCATTTGGGCTCTGTATTACATTAGAGGTTCCACAATTAACATAAGTAAATGCTTATGTCTGATTATATAAATAAAAAGAGTTTAAAAATTGTATTAACTTTGTCACTTCTGATTCATGTTGCAGAGCCCTCTTCCTCTTTTTCTTTTTAGTCCTTCAAACTAATCTAATGCTGTTCTCACTCTTTGCCTGGAGAGGAAGAAGGCATAACTTAATGATGTATCATTTGGCTTTTGCAGTGTCTTGTCCTATAGCTATGAGATAATCTAGTGAAGGTCTCCATCACTGAATTAAAGAACATGGTGCTCTAGACTTTCACTTACAGTCAGATTTTCACTCTTATGTGGCTGAAGAACCGAGTTTTAGCATAGTCTGTTAGAAAAAAAGTGAATGCTTCTTTTTCTGTTAGAAACTTGAAAAAGAGAAAGGTAAGACTTGAGGTCTTTAAAGATACAGTTTAGAACATTCACTTCTAGGTTTTTAATCAGAACCCTTTATCTTCACATGTTTTCTTTATCTTTTGCTTGATACTTGTCAGAAAACGTTCCTGCATAGTTATACTTTATTTTACAATGTGTGTAGTTCTTAATTTTAAAAATTCAGGAGTGACTGTCATAGGGTTTACTGTAAGGTTATTTTAGTATCCTCTTTAATGTTCTGTATCCCACTTGACTTGTATCTTTTGAATCTGAGATTTCCAAAGTACAGTATATTCAATTTTATAGTATGCATTTTTGGTTTAATACTATGGAAATCTCCATAATTAGAGAAGATGCTGACTTGATTCAGAAATATCAGGGCAAGCTCAGAAATTGTGTTTAATTCCTAATTTTTTTCGTGTTTACTCAAATATGTTTTTTGGCTTTTTGGGCATAGCGTTCATGAACTGACTGAAAGACTTGTAAGCAAAATTAAACACACCAAGAGTTAAGCAGGATTTTTCTAGTCAACCCAACCCAGTTGAGTGTGTTATTTCTATTTATTCATTTTAGATTGAATATTGAGACAAACAAGAGCTGTAGTCTGCTCTCAGTTCTTCCCTCTGAAGTGCTCAGATAATGCTTGTATTTTAGCACTGGTCCTCGTGCCTGAGCTCTTACCAGTAGTCATTGCCAGGTCTGCTTGCATGAATTGTTAAAAAGATAAGGAGTTGTAGTGAATGATAAGAAACATCAAATGGATTTAATGTGTCATGTTTCTTGGCCCTTCTCATGACTGTGCTTTCAGTTTAGGTTTCCCGGGGAGAGGGTTGAATGTGGTTGGGTTGAATCCCAATAAGAGTCTGCTACATCAACTTGTATCTTTGGCAGTATGCTGTGACACTGTCTCAGCATAATTACACAGATGAACTTCTGTATTTTCCCTGAGTTTGCTTACTGTCACTGGAAAAGTCACAAAGCCTTACTGTCGTTGCGGCCTACCTATATTTTCTGCATTCCTGTTGCAGATTTTCTGAGAAAGCATACATTAAAAAACAAAACCAAAACAGATCATGCCTCAAGATCCAGCTATAATCAACATCAGGGAATGAAGTGGAGACACAGCCAGTGAAATTCACACATATATTTAATTATCCGAGGGAGAAATTATTATCCATCTTGAGAGATTGATTTAGTTGGTGATATGTCTACTCCTTATGAAGAAGAGGAGCTACGTGATATGCAAACAAGGCTTTTTTCCACTGCACACTTAAGATGTGGCTGTCATTGCCATTTGAAACTATGAGATTTATCTTCAATAATAAACTTGAATTGGCCAAAAGAGGTGAAATGCTCTGTTGTGTGATGAGTCTGGTTTTGCAGTAGCCAAGGGCTGTGTTGTTTCCTGGGGACTTGTTCTCTTCGATTTATTAAAGTAATGAATAGAGGGAAACTAATCAAGAAGAGTGTTTGGGATAAGATTAATTTTATTAATTCTCCAGTTTACTTTGGGTAATGTTGGAAAAAACCATGGAAGTTCTTCACTGTGATACTAATGCGAGTGTAGCAGTAGTTTTGACTTACATATGTATAAATATTCTAAAAAATGGGATTGGGGTTTTGCATGTGAGGCCAAAACATGGATAAATGATACTGCTGGACACAGTCTGCTGTGCCACTCAGGTACTTCAGAGATAAGGCATGGATGATTAATGGAAGTCTCTGCTGTACATTCCACTGTGAAACGCAGGAGGTCCCCCATGCCAAAAGCCAAGTGCACCTGAACAGAGTCTTGCCCTGAGGATGGAAGTAGATGTTCCAGATGTGGAGTAAGACCTGGAGCAGAGCAAAAGTCCCACACTGGTGCTCACAGGGTACTTTTCAACAGCCACTGAAACTCCTGTGGGAGATGTGGTTGAGGTAAAGGCACTGATGTTTTACTGCTTTAGTACTGGCATGGATATTGAGTCTGTGAAAAAACTCATAACTTCAGAGATGCCATGAGTGCAGTTGATTGTTGGCTCAGTTGATTATTCTGCAGGTCATTATCATCTGGAGCTCTTCTCAAGAGTGTTGAATTCTCTGTTTTTACCTATGAAGTATTTGTCACTTGCTGTTAGATTTCAGTGTTTCTTCCTTGGTCAGGTGAGATTTTGGTTCAAAGATATGCTTTTAAAGCTTATGACATCAAGCACTTCTGAAATGTTCATTGCTTGGAGCTTCTGAGATAACATTATCAGAGGAGAAGTTTATTCATCATATTCTTCTGAAGTTTGGCTTTATTTTACTTTTTGTTCATTCTCAATGTGTTTTTTTCAAATAGTAGACAGAGTATTGGGTTTTGTGTTGGAGACGTTAGAAATTACTCCTTAAGTAATTTTATATTACTTTTGATCAAATTATTCAAATAGAATTAGATTTAAGTGTGAGCAAATGCTTTTTGAATAAAACAAAGCACATGCTTTTTCCCCCTCCACTTGTATTAAATTTATTTTAAAATATACAGCTAAGAATATATATATGTATTCTATAAATATATACATAAAGAAGTAAGAATAGGAGCACTGTTTTTGACATTCATTTTTCTTCCCCTTTCTGTAAAAAATTAAAGAATTTCATCTCATGAGTGATAGTTATCGTACCCTCTGATTCTTTCTAGGTATTCTTTCTGGCCATTTTTATTGAATTTAGTTTAAAAATGGCTCTGAATTCAACAAGTATAATACTAAGATCTTGGAAATATTTTAATATCTTTTCAAATACAT